TGGACAGACAGCGTTATTAAAGCGACACTGTCATGCCGAACTTACCTTTCCTCAATCTCTTCCTCTTCTCCCCCTCTCTCGGGATCTGTTATTCTTTTCTTCCTGTCTTCTTTAGTTTTCTTTAAAATCATAAGACAAAGAAGGGACTCTTTGCCTTATGGAGGATTCCTCCGCTTGACCAGCTCTGACCAGCGGAGGAGCAAAGTGTGCTTCATTTCCGCTGGTCAGAGCAATTTTCCCATGATCCTTACCTTCCCTCTGTGTTCCCACAATGCTTCCTGTCACTTTCCACAAAACTGCCGAATTGTGTTCTAACTGAATGACAACAGTATGTTCGTTTCTTTTAGAACGCAATTCGGCACTTTATTCGGATCGGAATTTCATTCTAATGAATGAAACTCTGATCCTATTTATTGCTGTGGCTGCATCTTGCAGCCGCTTAGTAGATAACTCCCTAATTCCCACGGTATCAGGGAGTTATCTACTAAAAGGCTGAAAGACCTAAATTGGTCTTTCAGCCAACTTTACTAATACTAGGTAAAGATTACTTAGTATTAGTGTTGTGGAAATAAGGTCTGCACATATTTCCTAGTTAAAGGAAAATGTCTATTTACTCATTTCACAATATGCTATAGAGTTAAGCACACATATTTAATCAAAATGGCTGCTAGAGGGGGGCGGAGCCAACTACTGAACCGAGCGGTCGCAACTCCAGCGAGCTCCGAGAAATTAAAGCGTTTTTACGGATAAAATCCACAATTATCACCCCCCAAACACAACAGAAACAAGCTGCTTACTCCAACAAGCAAGGTAGCAATGGGCAAGAAGAACAAAAAACTTAAATCGAAAATGCCACGACCAGGCGCAAGTATTGGGGACCTATGGCGGAGAGCACATGGTGCCCAAGAGCCTCACATGGCGGATTATGCAGACTATGTGGACGACCTCACTAACTCGGATGATCTAACCTCAGACCAAGAAGAGGTGGCCTTACCCGCTACACGAACGCTGACACAGCCCAAGACACAGCCGGACACTGCTCCGGTCACGAAGGCCGAGATGAGGGAGCTGCTGGCGGAGCTCCGCCGGGGCATCCAGACCGACATGGCGGATATGAGGAAAGACATCCAGAGCCTGTCGGACCGTATGGGTATCGTGGAGCGAGATTCCAAGAGCCACACACAGCAACTTACCACGCTGCAGCGCGACGTGGTCTCCCTGCAACAACAGCACCTGCAGGTGGAACACATATTGGCGGCGATGGAAGATGCACGGCGGGCCCAAAACCTCAAGATCAGGGGAATAGCGGACTCCATAACAGACGCCGAGGTGCCTCACCTTATACGACGCCTAGTAAGCACGATTGTTCCCGCGAAGCAGGCCAAAGGCATTGTCATAGATGGCACATTTCGAATTCCCAAACCATCGACAGCCCCAGCGACGGCACCCAGGGATATTATAGTTAAGTTTCAAAAACGTCAAGACAAAATGGCAATAATGACCGCCACCAGGGGAAACACACCATATGCCTTTGAGGACATGTCCCTCACGTTCTATGCGGACCTGTCACGGGGAACAATGACATGGCGCGCAGCCCTCAGACCACTCACCACCTTACTCCGCGCACACTGCATAAAATACCAGTGGCGCCCATCCCACAAACTACAGGTGCTTCATGGAGACGAATCTTACCTAGTAGCTGACCTGTCAGAGGCAAGAAGGCACCTGGTGGCCTGGGGCCTCCCACAAGACGCCCTGCAGCAGCCTAACAAACCCGCCAACACCCATACATGGAACCCAGCCACCTCTGAGACATTTGTCCCGAGAAAACCAACCCAAACAGCACCATCAGCGAGCCAACCATGAACCCATATGAGGACTTGAGGTCCTCCACCGCTCACTTATTGCTGTACCTTGGACTGTACGAACTGTTACATGCACTAATCATAGACTGGGCCATCCCCTGCAGCACACCAGGGGCACCAAATGAAAGACAGCAGCTAACTGCGTTCCGGCTACCAGCCTGGAGGCTGAGCAAGCTACCTGACGTTCCCATAATGTTGTAACTAGCTGACTGCCCAGAGACACAATCGCCTCTTTTTATATGATTTATTTTTAGCATTAGCGTTGTTTAACCCTTTCATTTAGTTATACCAACAGCTGAGCATTCCGACAGTACCATAGATGGGTCCCAACATCCAAAGCATATTATGCCGTTTACCTGCGAGGCACTGCTTAACCTGATCGTATAGAACTGTACCATGCCAGGGATGTAGCATAGAATTGACCAAGCCAACAGTAAATCCCTTCTAACACTTATGCTTACCTTGTATCCTAGGGGTACCGTATATTCATATGCCCTATTACTATCTTAAAACCCACTACCATAACGTAGTCGGCCTACCTTACTATGACCAGATTACGTAAACGCTACCCACGCTTGCACAAAAACCAAAATTAGCAGGTACTTACATACTTGACTCTCTCAATATGCTTGTCCAGGTGTAAGAATGGGTCCTATAATCATCCATAGTAAATACCCTTAGCATGTTACCTAGCATGGAACTCACACGACAACACACCCTCCCTATGTTATCGACCTTTAGCTTACAATAGGCTTCTAGTACGTATTTATTTAATTTTTTTTTATTTTTTTTATTTATTTATTTTTCTTTTCAAAAAGGTATGATGCTATGACTGCCCTCTCACATATAGCGCATACCACCACCCTAAGTCCGCAACAGTATGCACAAAGTACATACACATAGCGTTATCAATGTTAGTATACCGCTCCCCTATATCTGGCAGTGGAATCAATGGCAGGGAGCTTCATCCGGTTATATTTGCTCCGCAGGCAAAAAAGTGACAACGGAGGTGCCACGGCATAGCCACTGTTTCTCACACATCACCCACACGGTATAATCTACACCTGATAACGAACAGGGCCCTAACCCACTGTCACCTACTATATGTAATGTGAAGCTGCGATCACTGGCTCGATGACCCGTCAATCTTCTTACTGTTTTTTGTGACACTCACGCCGCACTACATCTGAGTCACAGCTACCTAACCTTAAGCGTGCCTAGCTTTGTTAAAAACATATTTATTGTAGCATGTTATTCAAACGTTGTTCTAACTTGTTCATTTTCTAAACATAAAAATTGTGCCGACTACACAGCCACAATGTAAAATGCTTTAAATGTGCTTGTAGATGCTATTGTGGCTCTACTGGCTTGTTGTAACCACCTGCACAAGAAAAATAAAGAATTTAAAAAAAAAAAAAAAATGGCTGCTAGAAGCTTCTAGCCCCTCCACCCCCTTCCCCCTCCCTCCCTTCATAACACCAACTAACTACCTCGTGCAACAAGATGGCGCCGGGAAACCGTGGGAGACCCTCATGGCCCCGGTGACATCACCTATAGTAGGCAGAGCATTAGAGCAACCACTTAACACCTAACCAATAATTGATGTATTATTCCATGTTATCTCTGACAATGCTTATGATGTAATTTTGCTTTAAAAGGGACCTGCCGTCCCCTCTGAATAAACATTCCTCAAGTTATTCAACAACCTGGAACCTGTGTCTGGTGTGAATTACTTCAGGGAGCGTGCACGCATTGTTTCATCGATCTGGCCAGGGGCAGATACACAAAGAAATAATCAATATTTTGATTGATTTTTCCATTTCAATTGGCGCCCAACGTGGGGCCACCGGAGGGCCGGTTCGGAGGGCCGGAACCAACGGACCGGAGCGGACCTCCGGAAAGTGGGACAAGCGGAGCCTGATCACCTCCATAATACAGCCGTTGCCTGTGTTATTCTCCTGTTTTGTGTCGGTCTGTCTCCAAGTCCACTTCCGGCTTCCAGAAGGCTACTAGAGACAGGTAATTAACTCATCCGGTGTGCCTTTTTAAGGTGAACCTGTCGATTGTCTATCTGCCTCCTGTATTCATTTGTATGTGTGTGTGTGTGTTTCTCATACCTCTGATAAGTTAGCTTGACTGCCTAGCGGGCAGGGGACGCATTACAGCCGGTGGGGCTGGGATTTTACAGCCGGTGGGGCTGGGATTTTACAGCCGGTGGGGCTGGGATTTTACAGCCGGTAGGGCTGGGATTTTAAGTTAGCTTGACTGCCTAGCGGGCAGGGGACGCATTACAGCCGGTGGAGCTGGGATTTTGTTTGTTTATTACTGTGCTCCCATTAGTACCTGTGTTATACTGGGACCAGCCTGGTGGGTGAAGGCTGAGGATTGCTATACTTCGATTTGGCACCGGTGTCATTAACATGTACATGGCCATTTTACTCTCTGTCATTCTGTGGTTTTTGTTTAATTGTTGTTACAGCGTGGGTACCCTTGGTGTGTGTGTGTGTATTGTGTGGTTAGTTCTGGACTCCGGAGTTTATGCTCATTTATATGTTTGTGATTTTTGCAAATGTCTTCTCATTAGCACAGCCACGTTCATCTTTTCTTTTGTGCTTTATCTCTCCTGTGCCTGTTGCCCAGAGCTGTGTTAGTCACCCACGCTCATTCGCTCCCGTCCGTGACCACCACCCTGGGTGGGCGGATCTCCGTGACTAGTCTACGTTTGGGGAAGACGCACGGGGCTCAAGTTCTCATGGCAGTCGAGCACTGTAGACACTCTTTTTCCCTCCTTCCTTATACCTCCTCTATTCATCTGTCTTTAACGAGTGGCACGCTTTGATTAATCAAGATGGGGCAGGAGCATGCTAGACCTGCTAAGGGCTTGTTGGCTTGTGACATTGTGAAAGAAAGGGCAGGGGAAGATGCAATGATGAAACATAAAAAGATTGCTAAGGTGTGTGGCTTCCAGATGTTGCCCAGTGGGAGATTGCAGCCAGAGTTTTGGAGAAAGCTACTCATAGACAAGGAAGGTTTATTGTTGGATAACGGACTCACAAAGGTTGCAGAGGCTTGGTATCGTGTAGCTAGAGGTTTAAAACGGGAAGGATGGGTCGAGGAAGAGTTGGAGTTTGAAGGGCAAATCGTACATGTTTACCATAGAAGTGTTCACAATGATGATGTTGTTTCTATTGTTCCACGGCCACCACCCTATGATGGCGCCCAGAGCACAACAGTAACTTCCCGCCCTGCTTCCCCCGTCACAGCACAGACCCCACCCCCCGGGGGCGTGCCTTCAGCCCCCACCCCCCTATGTCCCGTCCTCGGGGTAGATGGAGCTTACTATTTCCCAGTGCCACACCACTCGTTCCCACCCACTCCCATGCACCAACCCTCCTGTGACCAAACCCCCTCTTTCAACCATCATCCTGTCTTGTCCATCGGAGCTCCCCCACCTCCATGCCCCCCGTTACCTCTCCCAGGGCCTGTCCTTACTCCGAGTACTGCCCCGACTATTCCCGCCTCAACTATCGAAGTCCCATCCTCCTCCTCCTCTCAATCCCTCTCCACCCTGAATACCCCGTCACTGGTAAACCCCGTTCCCTCACCCTCTTCGTCCGTCCTACGCCCCCGCTCCTACCCACTCAACCGACCCCGTCTCCCCGGACCCCTGTCCCCCGGTTGACTCTCCTTCTCCGGTACCCTCAGGAATCCCCGTGATCCCTACCCCTGCATCCCCATTGTCCCCCACTCCTACTCATCCCCTCTCCTCCTCCTCCTCTTCCAAGGATCCCCCGTCCCTACTCTCCGCTCTCATGAATCTTGTCCAGTCCGTTAGTCCCGGTTCCCTTGCCTCCGCCCCCTTACCCACAGATTCCCCTCCCATCCTCACGGTCTCTCCTACTACTCCTCCTCCTGAAGCCCCAGCCCCCTCCACCCTGTTGCCTCCCACTCCCGCGGCCGATTTGCCGTCCCTGATCTCCGCCCTCATCGCCCTAACCCAACCCATTGCCGTCACCCCTCCAGCTCCTCCTCCAGTATTACCTCCTCCTGAAACCCCGGCCCCCTCTACCTCGTTGCCTCCCACTCCCGCGGCTGATTTGCCGTCCCTGATTTCTGTCCTCACTGCCCTAACCCAACCCCCCGTTGCCACCCCTCCAGCCCCTTCTCCCGTGTTATCTCCCCCCGACATCCCTGCTCCCCCGACCTTATTACAGCCCCTTGATCCCGTCCCTCTGACCCCTTCCCCTCTGACCTCTGACGCACCCGTGCCCGATGACCTGTCTGGCTCGATATCTGCCCTCTTCACCGCTGTTACTTCCCTGGTTAATTCCGCGATTCCCGTGCCGCCTCCCATTGACGTACCTCCTCTTCCTCCTCCCCCTCCCCCCGAGCCTCCAATCCCACCCTTGTCTCCTGCCGATATTCCCGAGCCCTCCGATCCAATCTCCGCCCTTGCAAATGTCCTAAACACCCACCTTTCGCGCCCAACCCAACCGGCCCCCGTGACAGCCCCTTCCACAGCCTTGGTCCCTCGAGTCCCTTTCCGCCAGTCCTAGTTACCCAATCATGGTGGTTGGATCCGAGGTGTCAGGGACATCTGACCAGCCCTATGCGATGGGTGCCTCCCCCCAGGCCTCGGGTTTCCACCCAGCTACCTCACCTGTCACCGCCCTCCCTGTTGTCCCCGCTACAGCTACTCCTGAGACTACTCTCCGCCGTGGCCCAGTGCTGCCCGAAGAGGTAGTTGTGGTTGACCAGAATTCACCCCACCTGGGGGTGAATAGGCTCCCCCAACAGCAAACTATCCCTGGTGCGGGTGGTGCACCACCTATGTATGTTACCTTTAACCCTTCCCAAGCTGCTACCCTTGTGACCTCACTCCCTGATCCTGAAAAACACCCCATGCCCTTTTTCCGTAGGATGGCTCAGATCCGTAAAACATACTCCGCTGCTTGGCGGGATCTTATTAGTCTATGTGAAATAAAGGCTGGTGATGCATACTGGCCAATCATGGAACGGAGCTTTAATGATGCTCCACTTACTTCTGATACTGACTTTCGTTCTGGTGAAATTTTTTGTGAACAGCTTCGTGCCTGGGCACAGGATAAACTAGCAGATCAGGCTACTTGCATTAACGATATCCTACAGGACAAACTTGAGACAGTTGAAAAGTATCACTCTAGGTTGACTCAGACTTTTTCAGACTTAGGGTTTAGTACTTACAACAAAGCACACACCCAGATGCTATCTGCAGCTTTTGTGGCAGGGCTTAGGGAACATATTCGTAAGGGTTTAATTTTAGCTCGGCCTGAGTATAGAATTATTCCACTGGACACTCTTTTGTTGGTAGCCAAGGGCTTAGAGTCTGTTTTGCTTCCTACACAGCGTAGAACTAGTCCTCTGATGTATGCTACCTCCGCCTCAATCGCAGGTCCAACCCAGGGACCTCAGATGCTCCCCCAACAGTACACCCAGTCCCCCCAGACACTGCCTGCACCAATTCCCTTCTCCCGTGACCGGACTGTCACGACAATCCGGACCTGCTTTAATTGTAATCAGCCAGGTCACTTTAGGAGAGATTGCCCACACCCTAGAGTGTTCCGCCAGCAGACCCTCCGGTACCAAAACCCCCATGTCACCAGCTACAACTTCCCCTCCACTGGTTATCTCCCTGCCCTACCCCATCCACAGTTGCCTCAGTTACCTCCTCCACCTCCTCCCCCTCCGCCTCCTGAGTACTCCCAAGCCCGGCTCCCCGCAGCAGAAGCCCGTGCATACACTTCGCCCTCCGCTGAAGGGTATGATACCGATGACTTCCAAGACAACCAACCTCATCCCCGCCATGCCCTCCGTCCATCCCGCCCCCCCGTGCATACTGCTAACCCTCCTTCCACTTCCCGCCGGTACCAGGGACCAGATCAGGCCCACCTAGATTTATTGCAATAGGTAACTGGCAAGCCTGTGTCAGCAACCCCTGCCATGGCAGTGTCTGCGGGGGATGGGGGAGGACCTTTGGCTACTGTAGTTCTCCCTGTGGAGGGTCACCCAACCACCTTTTTAGTTGACACAGGTGCAGCCCGTAGTGTTCTTAGAGAACAAGACCTGCCAGACCCTTCCTTTCTGTCTGACACCGATGTCTCCTGTGTTGGGGTGGATGGTACACCACACAGTAACCCCCTTACTAAGCTCTTACATGTAGGTTCACACATTCTGTCCCGTTTTGTTGTTTCTTCCACTTGCCCCATTAACCTCCTAGGTGCCGATGTCCTCTCTCGGCTCCAGGCTTCCATTACCTTTACTGCAGATGGACAAGTTGAGTTAACAACCCCCTTATCACAAAAAGATACTTCTGTACTCTGCTCACTCCCCATCTTGTTGAACCTAACTGACAACACAGGGAATGTACGGGTCACACACACCCCCAGTGCTCTGGATCGTATCCCCCAAGAACTTTGGTCCACCGGCCCGGATGATATTGGACGCTTACATGTACCCCCCGTCCTGGTCCAGCTCCTGCCTGGAGCACTTCCTCCTCGTAGACCTCAGTACCCTCTGAAGCCAGCACAAGCTGAAGCCATCACCAAACAAGTTGAGTCTCTGCTTGCCAAAGGTGCCCTTATCAAGTGCACATCTCCATGCAACACCCCACTTTTCCCTGTTAAAAAGCGACCTGTTAAAGGTCAACCCGCTCAGTACCGCATGGTACAGGACCTCCGTGCCGTTAATGAAGTAACCATAAAGGACACTGCTATTGTCCCAAACCCCCCATACCCTTTTGTCCCAAGTGCCACCAAATTCAACAATTTTTACTGTTGTGGATCTAGCTAATGCCTTTTTCAGTGTCCCCCTTGACCCTTCCTGCCGTTTTCTCTTCGCCTTCACACATGAAGGACAACAATATACCTGGACTGTTATGCCTCAGGGAGCTCAGAACTCTCCCACACAGTTTGCTCATGCCATGTCTCTAGTTTTGGATCCCTGGCAGAAATCTCATCTGGATGTTGTTCTACTTCAATATGTTGATGACCTCCTTCTCTGTGCTCCTAATTTGCTTATTGCAGAACGTGACTCCGAAGATCTCCTATGTTTCCTCGCTGCTGCAGGGTGCAAGGCCTCAAAATCAAAGCTGCAATGGTGCCGGCCCTCTGTGGTCTTCTTGGGACATTGCCTTTCCCATGGCACCAAACATCTAACCTTACAACGGGTGCAAGCTATCCTTCAACTCCCATTACCTGCAACCCACCACTCTCTTCACGCTTTCTTGGGTCTCATCACATACTGTAGGTCCTGGATACCTGAAGCATCCAAACTCATGCAGCCACTCTATGATGCACTCCGGAGTGAGCCCTTTCACCTCACTGAAGAAACTATTAACTGTTTCCATACTCTGAAAAGAGCTATTGCTTCTGCACCTGCTTTGGGCCTACCCAACTACCAACTCTCTTTCAATTTGTTTGTCTCTGAGAAATCAGGACATGCTTCCGGAGTCCTTACTCAGAAACATGGGTCCAGACAACGGCCTATTGGCTATTTTTCCTGCATGCTTGACCCTGTTGCAAGGGGCAGCCCCTCTTGCCTCCGTGCTGTGTTTGCCGCCAGTGCCCTCCTGGACAAGACTAATGACTTTGTTCTTGGCCATCACCTCACAGTGTTGGCCCCTCATGACATTACTGCTATCCTGCAACAAGTTCAACCCAAGCACCTTTCCTCCCAACGCCACCTCCGCCTGCAAACCTCATTGCTTTTACCTGACAATGTGAAACTCCAGAGATGCCTCACCCTGAATCCAGCCACTCTTCTGCCACTTCCCAAGGGGGGAATTGTGTACCACTGGTATAGCCTGGATATCAACCCGGAAGTTCTAACAGATCTGCAACTACCTGCACTTGCACCTCCACATGATGAACAATCAGTGGCCCTACCTCACTGTACCTTGTGGGTTAGGGATGAACCAGGCCCTGATATGAACTATGAGAAAGAAGTATTCCAACTCAAAGAAATCCAAATTACCCTGACTGACTTGTTTTGGGACCTCACAGGTACCATGCTCATCTTGGTCCACCTCCCAGAGAGTGTGACACATCTCTATCACCATTGGGAAACATCGATCCCACACATATCTTTCACCAGACCCCCTGACATCTCGTGGAAAGACCTAGGCACGATGGCCAAGACCTGGAGTCAAATGACCCCAGAACAATTGACTTCTACAGGGGTCAACAAAAAGACTATTAATTACTGTACAGCTGGGTACCCCAGGTACCACACAGAAGCCTGTGAGGATCCACTCACCACAGACTGTGACCTCGATATCCCTCATGATTGTTTTGAACAAATGAAAATGGAAACTACACACCTACCAACTGTCTATGAAGCTGCATTACTCAACCCGGACCAAACACTATTTGTGTATGGGTCAAGATTTGCTGATGAACAGGGACAATACCACACTGGGTATGTAGTCACCACAGAATGCCAAGTATTGCAAGCAGCTGCCCTACAACCAACTAAGTCTGCTCAAGAAGCTGAATTGACAGCCCTAACTGCGGCCTGCAAATTGTCTGAAGGGTTACGTGTCAACATTTACACGGATTCAAGATATGCCCTGGGAGTAGCACATGACTTTGGCCTAATTTGGAAGACCAGAGGATTTCTAACGGCCACTGGTACCCCAGTAAAGCATGGGGCAGCCATTGCAGAGCTGATGGATGCATTGGAACTTCCAGCAGAAGTGGCAGTATTGAAAGTAAAAGCCCATGGAAGACTAGACACAGAAGAAGCACGTGGCAATCACCTAGCCGATCAAGCAGCTAAGGAAGCAGCACGGCAAAGATGGGAAGTGGACAGAAGAGTGGCCACTGATACATTACCTATCTACACTATGCAAACATTGCCTACAGATCTTAGGCTTCTGAAGGAACAGCAAGCTGCTGCTACTCCCCAAGAGAAACAAAGTTGGAAGAATAAAGGAGCTGTACTACGTGATGATGTTTACACCATCAATCTCAAGTTCTGCTTACCCAGAAGTATGTACCCAGCGGTGGTCCAATGGGCTCATGGGCCAGCTCACCTGTCAAAACTCCTGATGAACTCACTGATTGACAAGTATTTTGAAGCACCAGGCATCACTACCTTAACACAGAATTACTGTAAGTCTTGTACTATATGTGCTAAATGCAATCCTGGAAAGATTATAAAGACCGCACCTAATCACCTAGCCAAGCCGCAATACCCCTTCCAGAGGATCCAGATTGATCACATTCAGATGCCAAAGAGTGGACGTTATGAATATGCATTGGTCATAGTGGACATGTTTTCAGGATGGCCAGAGGCCTTCCCAGTGACTAACCTCACCGCGAGGACTACAGCCAAGTACCTCCTGACAGAAATTGTTTGCCGCTATGGGGTCCCAGAAGTGATTGAAAGTGACCAGGGGACCTCCTTTACTGCCTCGCTAACACGGGAAGTCTGGTCAGCACTGGGGGTGACCCTTGCATTCCACACACCATATCACCCACAGAGTAGTGGTAAGGTAGAACGCATGAATGGCACTTTGAAAGCCAGAATGCTTAAGATGTCACAAGAAACTAACATGCCCTGGCCCGAGAGTCTCCCACTGGCATTGTTTAGTGTAAGGTACACACCTAGGGGAAAATACAGCCTATCACCCTATGAGATTTTGTTTGGTACAGCACCTAGGTTGGGTTGTTACTTTCCCCAGCAGCTTCAGATTCAGTCAGATGCTATGGTAGACTATGTGACTTCTCTCTCTCATGCCCTGACCAAAATACATGCCCAAGTGTTTTCTTCTATTCCAGATCCTGAGTCGAATACAGGTACACACAAGCTGCTCCCTGGTGACTGGGTTATGGTCAAGAAGTTTCTCAGGAAACACACCCTAGAACCGAGATTTGATGGTCCTTATCAAGTGCTCCTGATTACAGCAACGTCAGTTAAACTAGCTGGGAAGAGTTCCTGGATACACGCTTCACATTGCAAAAAAGTGCCTGCTCCAGAAGAGGCTGTTCCTGCCGAAACATGAATTTATTATGTGTCTTGTGTTTTCTTATGTTGTTGCACTTTGCTTGGGCCCAACAAGTGGCCATAACCAAAGATAATCATGTTTACACTTTCTGGTACAACTCTTCTAACACTGATGTAGCTACATACACCTTTGATTACTGTGACATAGTTACTTGTACATTTCCACAAACACAATATGCAGCCATATACAAAGACATACCTAACAAAAAGGATCCATACATTTGTGTGACCGGAGGAACTTGGGGACACCATTGTAGTTCATGGAAAGCTGCCGGGTGGAATACAGGTAGGCCATGGGGCTACAGACCTCAGGTTGCACTGGACAGACTTGACAAGGACGGGAAACCCCTACTTTCCAGAATGACTCTGAGTAAACCCACAGGGTCAACCCCCATTAAACTTACCCTGAACATAGAACACCCTAGCCCAAGGGACGCGGGGTAATATGTGATGGGGATGCACTGGAAGGGGGGTGGCTCACATAATGCATTGGGGACATTCTACCTACAAGACATGCTCACCTCCTCAGACTGGGTAGGGACCACTCACATGATAATTAACCCATTAAAACCACATATTAAGACTCTACATGACATGGTAGCTATAGCTAACCCCACCTTTGAAGACACTATGGCAGTAGAGACTGGGTTCTCAGATGCTAATTTGTGGCTGGAATGGATGAGGTATAATGCTAACTCACACAACAAAACTAATTGTTATGTATGTGGAGGGGCTAGGCCCCATCTGGGCACAGTTCCTCTGAGCTTACCTCCCGAGGTAGAACTATGTGTACTGAGTCTTTATGCACAATCCATCTCTAACTCCTCAACATGTGAATCATGGAAGAAAATCTACCCGATCACTCATGGACATGTAAAACCACCTGATGGAGTCACCATCTACCCAGGTAACTACACATGTTATACAATACCAAAGAACACTGGTTTACATCTAGGCAGATTCCCATCAGGATACTGCTCGACTTATCATAATCCACCCGCATCACTGTTAATGAATCACACAAAGACAATCGGTGATATCTATTGGTTATGTGGTGATAAACAATTGAGGTCCCAATTAGCTGGGCAATGGTGGGGGGAGTGTGCCCTAACCAAAGTCATAATGCCTATCCATATTATTCCAGATGGTAGTCATAACACGTTAAACCCCAGACATGTACACTCTAGAACTAAACGAGAGACTCCTATTCGAGGGAGCTTTGACCCTCATGTGTATATTGACGCCATAGGTGTGCCAAGGGGGGTGCCTAATGAATTCAAAGCAAGAGATGAAGTGGCTGCAGGATTTGAATCCCTAATTCCAATGATAACTGCTAACAAAAATGTCAATTGGATTAACTACATCTACTATAACCAACAGAGCTTTGTCAACTACACCAGGGATGCCCTACAGGGCCTGGCAGAGCAACTGCAAGCCACTACCCAAATGACATTTCAGAATAGAATGGCTCTAGATATGATTTTAGCTGAGAAAGGAGGTGTATGTAAAATCCTCCCTGAGACCATGACATGCTGTACATACATTCCAGACAACACTGGGCCCAATGGTAAGGTGACTATGGCTATAGAGAAGCTGGATAATCTCGCAGATGAGCTAAAGAAAAATTCAGGAGTCACTGACACTTGGGACAGATGGTTTGGATGGATGAATGGTTGGCAGAGGACCCTCTTCCAGGTGGGGGCAGCTGTTCTTATAATGACCATCATTTTCTTATTTCTGACCTGTTGCGTACTCCCTTGCATACAGAAGTACTTACAGAAGACAGTAGATAAGACTATAGTTGACGTGACCCCTACTTTCCTACATCAGGACGTCACAGACCTCGAAGATGACACTCCACATACACCCCTTCAAGCACATCAATTCAAACAGACAACTGCTTTCCTGTAGGGATAGTATAGGGAAAGCATCTGTCTTGGCAGGCGAGTCTCACGTGTGGAGATGTAGTGGATTAGCCGCTGCAGGTTACCCACGGAGTGAAGTGTTCGATGCTTGCTAAGATAGATGAGCTGTAGGTAATTAGAAGCATATCATTAGGGATAAATTAGGGACAGCAGCAGTTGTTATGGTAAATAGCCATTTTAGGGGGGACTGTTGTGGAAATAAGGTCTGCACATATTTCCTAGTTAAAGGAAAATGTCTATTTACTCATTTCACAATATGCTATAGAGTTAAGCACACATATTTAATCAAAATGGCTGCTAGAAGCTTCTAGCCCCTCCACCCCCCTCCCCCTCCCTCCCTTCATAACACCAACTAACTACCTCGTGCAACAAGATGGCGCCGGGAAACCGTGGGAGACCCTCATGGCCCCGGTGACATCACCTATAGTAGGCAGAGCATTAGAGCAACCACTTAACACCTAACGAATAATTGATGTATTATTCCATGTTATCTCTGACAATGCTTATGATGTAATTTTGCTTTAAAAGGGACCTGCCGTCCCCTCTGAATAAACATTCCTCAAGTTATTCAACAACCTGGAACCTGTGTCTGGTGTGAATTACTTCAGGGAGCGTGCACGCATTGTTTCATCGATCTGGCCAGGGGCAGATACACAAAGAAATAATCAATATTTTGATTGATTTTTCCATTTCAATTAGTAAATTAAATGCCCCTACTCGCTATACCGCGAGTAGGGGCATGTGTAGTAAGCAGTGAGCAGCTTATAGCTGCTCACTGTAAAAAACAAACAAAAACAAACTAATAACCCCCCCCCCCACTCCACCCATGCCCGTGGGGGCCCTAAATAAAGATGGGGGGGAACCTGGCCCCTGGCCCCCACCCCTGAGCGGTGCCCTAATAAAACAATAGGGACCTACTGTCCTCTGACCTCGGTGGGTGGGGTTCTAGTAAAGAGCTGGTACTTCGTCCTTTCCTTTCTGGCTCCCACTTTCGAGCCGGTGGTGGGGCCTCAGCAGCATGGCGGGGACCTACTGCTTCTGGTTTCATTCGGAGCGTGCGGGTGGGGGGCCGCGAACAGGCTGGGGGATCTACCGTCTCTCTCGCCCCGAGCCGGGTGGGTGGGGCCCCAATAAACACAGGGACCTTACTGCCTTCTCTGGTTTCACTTCGAGCGTGGGGCAAATCAGTAAAACAACAAGGGGACCTACCAGTCCCCATTTTCGAGCGTGTGGTAATTTAGCGTAAACAATATGTGAATCTACCGTCCCAGGTCCACCTTATTAGTGCGACAGTCCCCTGCACCCACCGCCAGGGGCTTGTGGGGGGAGGACAAGCAGGTCCCCCACAGCCTTACTAGGGCCCCCACCCACCGCTCAGGGGTGGGGGCCGGGGGGGAGGACAGTAGGTCCCCCCCCTTATTGTTTTACTAGGGCCCCCACCCACCGCTCAGGGGTGGGGGCCGGGGGGGAGGACAGTAGGTCCCCCCCCTTATTGCTTTACTGGGGCCCCCACCCACCGCTCAGGGGTGGGGGCCAGGGGGGGAGGACAGTAGGTCCCCCCCCTAATTGTTTTATTAGGGCCCCCACCCAATCAAGCAAGCAGGGTAGCTTGCGGGGGTATGGCCAGCAGGTCCCCCCTAATAGTTCTATTAGGGCCCCCCAACAATCGGCCAGGGTGGGGCCAGGGGTGGGAGTGCATGGTGGCCTCCCTATTGTTTCAAGAATTCCCCACCCACCGCCAAGAGGGGTGGAAGCCAGGGGAGCATAGCAGGTCCCCCCATTATTAGGGCCCCCACCCCACCAGGGTGGGGGCCAGGGGAGGAGAGTAGGTCCCCCCCCTTATTGTTTTATTAGGGCCCCCACCCACCACTCAGGGGTGGGGGCCGGGGGGGGGACAGTAGGTCCCCCCCCCATTATCTTCATGGCCCCCACCCGCCGCTCAGGGTGGGGGAGGGTGGGAGGACAATAGGTCCGCCCCCCCTTATTGTAATTTATGTCTTTTTTTTCAACAGTGAGCAGCCATAGGCTGCTCACTGTTTAGTAGACATGCCCCTACTCGCGGTATAGCGAGTAGGGGCATTTGGGAGATTTTAATCTCCCTTGTGCTATTATGGGGGTCATATTGACCCCCATAGAGTGAGAGGGGGACCTGGGGGGGGCTTATAAAGTGGTGGGGAGCACTGCTCCCTGCCGCTTCTATCGTTACATGTTACAAGGAGGGAGCTGCACGCCGGTAGCTCCCTCCTTGTAATAAACTGAGCGAACAAACTAACACTGATACATAGTGTTAGTTTGTTCGGCTGATCTTTCTATTCACTCATTCGTCTGTCTGATGAATTAATGAATGAATGAATAGCTGAAATTCCCGTTCGCATGTCCAGGTGTTTCACTGGGCATGTGCGGGAATCTCACAGTCTGCCTAGTGTGGGCTGATGACGTGTCCCTGAGGGACTTCACCTACCCACACAAAGATGGCGGCGCCCTGAATCAAGATCGGGGCAGAAAATAAGGATTAAAAAATAGGTAATCTGGGGGGCTTAGGGGCATTTGGGGGTGACTAGTGGGTCAATTGGATGTAGTGGAGGCGGGAGGGGGGTTAAAAAAAAACCGGGATTCAGCATGACAGTGCCGCTTTAAATCTTTAAAAACTCTTATTGATTTAATGGTGACTTATGTAGATTATTTGAAAAGTTTTGAATAATGTTATTGAATTATTTACAGAAATTGCAATGTTTTCACAGCCTGCATGAAAACAATAGTTTCATTTTAATCAGATATAACTTACTTTAAAAGTTTGTATCTCCTGCTGTTTAAATTGAACTTTAATTACATACAGGAGGCTCCTGCAGAGTCTAGCAATCTATTAGCAGAGCAGGACATAAGAAATTCTTATTTAAACAAAATTTGCAATAAAGGAAGTATAAACATTAGAGGACTCTTTACAGGAAGTGTTAAGGAAGGCTGTGTAAGTCACATGCAGGGAGGAATCCCTAAGGCTTCACGAATTGAGAAAAAAGCTGTGAGATTACAGGGGCATGATCCATACACCCAGAATGCTTCATTAAACTAAAGTTGTTTGCGTGACTATAGTGTCCATTTAAGTTATCCTCATTATATACGTATGCATGTATTGCTTATTGCTAACATTGCTTATTTAACAGAACATATAAAAGAAAGCAACTCTGAACAAACTGAGTGCTTTTCTAATTTTTACATGGAAAATTTCCCTTTTTATAATCATGGTTTTTCACTTAAATTGTAATTAAACGGCCCTCCAAGAATTTAAAAAAAAAAGATAAATTTTCACCAGATTAATTTGGCAGTTAAAAAACCCCAAAAAGAAAACCCACACATGGCCTAAAGGTATAACACGGTTATTTACTAAATTGCGAATTCAAAGTAAATTTAAAATTTAAGGTCAAAACAGGTTAACCAGAAACATTTTCTAAGTCAGCTACACTTCTAGTTCGGCTACGTTGGCCTAAACTTCTAAATTCACTTTGAATTCTCACTGTAGTGAATAAAACTGCTATTTTGCTAATTCCCACAAAACTCAGTTTACTCAGTGGGATTGTCAGGAAGTCAGTGGAAAATCGCAAATTTCAGACCTAAATATGCCTTATATATCCCCAATGTGTATATTTAATTTTTTTTTTATGTGACATTAAAGATTTTATTAAGAATGATTAAGCTTCCCTTAAGGGTCTATAGTGTGTGTGTGTGATTGTGTTACCCGTTCGCACTATACCTCGCTTTGTTTCGATTTCAAACTCTTTAACATAGCCCTCTGTCATCTGCATCTATTGTTTGTTTTTTCCTAAACCTATTAGTTATCTGTGATTCACTTAATTTGTTTGTATATTCATGTTAAAGCACTGTAGAATATGCTGGTGTTCTATGAATAATGGTTTTGATGCTTTCTGTACAATGAATTGACAGGAACATGTCACATCAATTACTGTACTTATCAGATGTCCGCTCTGATCAATGCTATAATAGTTTTGTGGCTGACATGATGCTAGAAGCAGATTAACAGGATCATCAGTTTCCTTGGCCACAGCTCATGGGCAGGAAAGCTTGCCTATCCATTATCTTGGTATTGAAGAGCAGTGGGCCACACAGCTGTAAATGAAGAAGAAAATAAAATGATGAACATAAATGACTGCAGTTCATGTCACACTGAAATGATGGCTTTCTATAGTTACTACCTTGTAGTACATCTTTATCAATTGTCTTTCAGTCCCCAGAACTGTAGGAGATACATCTCAGTACAAAATAGGTCTTACTCCTCAGGATCAACTTAGCTTTTATGATTACAAGGAAACATAGGCGTGCACAGCCTATTGCATTAGGGTGCATGTATATGTATTCGTGTGTGTATATATATATATATATATATGCTGTGTGCTGCATGAGGGTGATTTGAGGGTGTTGTGTGTGTGTGTGTGTGTGTGTGTGTGAGGGTGCTTTTAGTGTGATGTGTGTGTGAGGGTGCTGTCTGTGTGTGAGGGTGCTGTGTGTGTGTGTTTGTGAGGGTGCTGTTTCTGTGCTGTGTGTTTGAGGGTGCTGTATGTGTGTGGGTGCTGTATGTGCAAGGGTGCTGTGTGTGTGTGTGGGTGCTGTATGTGTGTGAAGGTGCTGTATCTGTGTGCTGTGTGTGTGTGTGGTGTATGTGTGTGAGGGTGCTGTGTGTGAGGGTGCTGTGTGTGTGGGTGGGTGCTGTATGTGTGTGCTGTATGTGTGAAGGTGCTGTGTGTTTGTGTGTGCTGTATATGTGTGCTGTATGTGTGTGCTGTATGTGTGTGGATGCTGTTTGTGTGGGTGTTGTATATGTGTGCTGTGTGTGAGCTGTATGTATGTGTGGGTGCTGTATGTGTGTGT